GTCAAATAAATGCCTTTTTAATTGTATCCTCTAGTATTATAGCTGTAGGACAGTACTGTATGATACTTCTGTGAATGTAAGATATCCTGTACCTGCTTATGATATGTAGTAGTGACTGTGCTATACTGGAGCTGTTTTTAATAATGTTATTCTAGAGGTTTTTTTCCAGACAATGATTGAAAAAGCTAATAAAAAGCACCAGGTACCACATCAGTAGCAGAATTTGCTGGTTTTTTCTGGGATTTTTTTTTTTTTTTTTTTACATTTTTTTGGAAGGAAGAGTGAGTTGAAAGTCTAATGTGTATAATTTTGTTCAAATGACTGCAGAAGCTGGAAAGGCTGTTGCTGCTATTGATGCCTAGTGAATCGCTATTGGTTATCTTTTTATATAAATATATATATAATTTGAATTTTTGGAAACTTTAGCTGTGATGTCAACTTTGGAAAAAAGTATCCCACTTGTAGTGTGAGTTGGCATTGTACAGAAATTAACAGCCATATTGGTCTAGAAATGTTAAACTTAATTTTTTTTCCATTTGTACAGGGGTAACGCACTGTATTAAATATGTACGGTCTTATTTACATGGGTTTGATTACAGAAACTAATAAAGTATTCTCTAAATAAAGTATCCGGGTAATCTCATGATTAGCAGAGCGCTGCAGGATGCGAGGAGAGCACCTGAACATCGTGTGCCAAGCGAAGAGTGTGTGTGTTACAACCAGACTTCTCAAGAAAAACGGTTTGAGACAGCTCACTCCTGTTTCCCCCGGCACCTTTGATCTCGTTCTCCAGCGAAGGTCTCGCGGGACGTGGCTTCCATCTCGCTCTGGAAGGAGCCTGCCGGTTGCGTTCGCAGGACGTTGCATCTCCGGCGCGTTGGTGAGCTGCAGCGGAGGCTCGCGTTTTCTTCCCTCGAGAAGAGCCGCTCGTCAGAGGAGACCTGGATGAACACAGCCGCTTACTCGCATTTTAGCTGGTGGGTGACAACAGGCGCCGCCTGCGCGGGCGCCCTTGCAGCACGGGGCTGTTCCAAGCAAGCGGTTTCCCTGCGGGGGGGAGCCTTGGGGTGAGCTGTCCCGAGGAGAGGGGAGGCTTCCTCCCGGCGCTGCTCCTGCGCCGCTCCCTTCCCCGCTCTCTGCAAGCAACGCACGCGCGCTACCACGCGTTCAAGTCGCGCAGTTGCTGACTCGTGCCCGTAAGCGCGGGGCAGAAGGAAGGAAGGGTCGAGCATCCCAGCGGTCCTTCGGTTGCAGGGGCGAGGGCGTCCCTGCGGCCCTGGGCTCCCTGCCCCGCGGGGTTATGAAGAGGCAGGATCAGTGCGGGGCTGGTGCTGTCCGCTGGCCACCAGAGGGAACTCTGGGTTCGTAACACACCAGAAACCACCTCGTCTTTGGTCTCTGAGGAGGAATTCCGGCCTTGGGAGAGGGGGCTGGCTGCCGTTGCACCTCCAAGGGATGCGAAGGAAGGAAAGCCAGCCGCGGGTGTCGGGGGGTCTCTGCAGAGCAGACCTGCCTCTGGTCAGGGGTGTTGCTGCCAGCCCCGTGGTGGGCCGGAGCAGGCAGACCTGCCTGCGGTCAGCGGTGGTTTGCGGGCACCAGAGGAGCTGGAGCTGGTTCGTTTTTGGGGGGTTCTAGTAAAACTGCAGCAGTATGGAGTAAATAAAGGTGCTGTAGTCCACAACTGGAGCGATGCGCAGAAGTAACCTCCGAGTAGGCGATGCCACTGGTAAATGGCGTTTTTTACAGGAACCATAGGCGCACAGCTACAGCAAACGCTCAGGGAAAGGAGGATGGAGGTAGGGGAGCTGCGGGAAGGCAGACAGTGGTTTGAACTACAAACGTGCTCTAAAAGAGATGGCTTCAACGGTAATTGAGTTATGCTGATGTCTCCCTGTTTTGAGGCTGTCTGCTGCTTCCTCTTGGAAGGGAAATCATTCACTGGCCTATTCTGTTTTTAAGGAAATGCTGCTGAAAGGATTAATCTTAAATTCTCCAACAGAGCCACTAGAAAAATCAGATTAATTTCCTGCAGTCAGCAGTGTGAATATACCAAGCTTTTGGATGTTTCTTGCACTGAGCAGAATAAGGATAATATTTCCGCAGAAACTTAATTAAAAGCAAATACTTGAGCATTTGGTGCATCTGAAGAACACAATTTTGATGTGTGCCCCCCCGCCCCGCAAACCAGCCCCCAACCACCCCGGCTGCCTTTGAGGCCAGTTTGAGCTTTCAGTCACTGACCCCAGTTCATTTAATATTTTTATGACACTTAACCAGATAACTTGCTGCTGGCCGCTTACGCTGGAACAGATCCTGCTTTTTTAATCTGCGTGGGATTTGGTGTGTAATCTCTTTTCTGGGACCCTGGTCATCACAAATAATTGTGCTGAACCTCCCATAAATTAGGGAACTATTTTGTTTGGGGATTTCACTTTTTTTTCTTTCTTAATAACATTCAGTCTGTGAGAAGGCTGTAGCTTTTCTCAAGGGCAAGAGCAGAAGGGGGTGAATGTGACTGGGGCCGGATCCAGCAACCCCCCTCGGCTCAGGCTGGCTTCTCGCTGGGATGCGGGAGGGGAGGGACTGTCCGGGCTTGTTTTCCAAAGCCTGCTAAGTAAGGCTGCGTATTCAAGGGCTGTTCGGCTCCAGCCCAGCTTTCTGGAAATCCTGTGTACGTTGGCTTGTCGTCTTTTTTTTTTTTTTTTTTTTTTTTTTTTAGTCAATTAAGTGATGGACTTCCCAGCCCCAGAAGCCCCAGCACTGGCAGAGAGCGGGGAGGTGGGAAGGGCTGGGGCTGCCTGCCCTCGGTGGCTCTGCTCACTGAGAAGCCTTCGGTGCTGCTGCTCCCCGGAGGCCTCTGCACAAGCCCTCGCTTCCGTGCTGGGGCTCGACCTGCGCCTCCAGGGAGCTGCGGGGCAAAGGGAGGCTCCAGCCTCGCCTCCCGCCCTGTTTTGGGACAGAAATGCCATTCTCCCACCCTCAGCAGCAGGTTTTCTGTGCATCGGGTGGGTGGCTGCCCCTGGCTGGGTTGGGTCAGTGCTGCGCAGGCAGGGGCTGCCGGCTGCCTGCCTCCCTCTTCCCAGCCCCAGCGGGTACGTGACAGCCCCTGTCTCCTCCTGGGTGACCCCCATAGGTGCCTTCATTCCCCAGCTTTGCTGCCCTGGATCTTGCCCTGGCGTTTGCCTTGTTTCTCTGCAGCAGGGCCCAGACAACCGCCCGTCCCGGGTGGGTTTTTGCAGCAGGACAGAAGGACGCTGCGGGGCCAAGGCTGCTCCCCGAGGCAGGACTACACACCCGTGGTTTCTGAGGCCCAGAGAGCCTGTAACACACCACCGGTTTCTTGCAGCAGCTGTGGCTGGTCACAGCGGGTGCCCTCTCCCTGCGCTGGGACCAGGGTGCCCAGCTCAGCGCAGACCCGCCTGCTCCTCCTCCTGCAGCGCCCAGCTGGCCGAGGCTCCGGGACCCCCATCGGGAGGGGGGGAAGGCGGCACCTTGGGGCACAGCTTGCGGCACCCCGCGAGGACCAGCCCACCAAACCCCCAGGAAAACCCGGGCTTGGAAAGACGAGGTGCACGGCAGCGGCGGTCGGCAATGTTTATTACGCCAGGACCCTGTGCATCCCCCGGGGGATGCGGCTGCTGCTGCCCCGTCTGCCAGGGAGGGGTCGAGGGGAAGAAAAAGCCTCCTACAAACTTTCTACAATAAATAGTTAAAACAGCGTGTTTTGGCCTGGCCTGGGGAGCGCTGCCGGCCAGGCGGGGCCGTAGCTGCCGTGTCGCATCAGTGGCCGGGCATGGCTGTAAAGCCGAAGCGCGCGGCCGAGGGGCTGAGCGTGCCAAGGGGCCGCTCGGCTGCAGGATGCTCTGCCAGCACTCCTCACCACTGCTCTCTTGGCTGCTTCTTTTTTCCCCCAATAAAATAAGGCTTGTGCAATGAGCGTCCATATTCGCTGCTGCTTTTGATCCCGCTGGATGATTTTTTGGAGGCGGCTGAGCTCCGGGATGCCCCCAGGCACTGGCAGCATGGGATGCATGGGGAGCTCGGCTCTGCGGGCCTGCTGTTGGTGGGCGAACACCGCTCTCCTCAGCGAGGCTGGGGGAGGCCTCACTGGAACTGCTGCTGCTGGGGCGGTCTGGGGGGCAGCAGCGGTGCTCATGCTCAGCTGGAGCCTGGAAACACAAACCCCAGCCCTGCAGAGGGGATGGCTGCTTGCAACCAGGGAAAGCATTTATTTTTAGGTGGGACCCTCCCGAGCAGCCTCTCCCCACCTCCACCGCCTGCCCTGCCCAGCCTTCGCTGTGCCTGAGCCCTCCCTGCTCCGCGTTTGGGGTGGCTGGGCTGGGAGCTCCTGGAAGGTGCTGCAGCAGCTCAGGGCTGGTTACCACTGCAGCCCATCCAACAACACCTGCAGAGGCCAGGGAGAGGCGTTTCGCTGGCTCTACCAGGCTCCAGAGAAACACTTAATTTCCCTCCGCTGCACTCAAGCATGACGGGATGTTGCCAGAGGTGCCAGCGGGGACGTTTGTAGCCCCATCGCAGCACGGCTGGTCAGCGTGCGGCCCCCCACCATCGCCTGGAGCCGTCTGAGCCGACGCTCCTGGCTGCGCCGGGGGGGAGCTGGGGAGCAAAGCAGGGTGCTGAGGCGTGCACAGGGTTTGCGGGGGCTGAGCCAGCGCGTCCCCAGTCCCAGCTCACGGCCGGGAGAGGCGGGCGGGGGAAGGGGAC